GTACTGCTACTCCTGCCGCTGCCGCTGCCGCTGCCTCTGCTGCTGCTGCCGCTGCCTCTGCTGCTGCTGGCGCTGCTGCTGCTGCTACTACCTCGACAGCGGCTCCAGCTATTGAGACGACTGTAGGTGCTGATTGCGTTGCGCTGTTGCCCCAACGACGACGACGGCTACTGCAACAGACGAGACTATCAGTAACAAGCGACAAGACCAGTCCTGATGATGGTCTCGAATGATCACGGTCTCGTGAGGAAAGCCCCAAGGGCGCCCTTGCCCTTGCCTTGCATTTTTGGAGGCAAAGACCCAGCGAGGCTTGGTGGCCACGGCACGATAGGCACCAAGGAGCGCACGAAGGACGGCAGGCGAGCGGGGTGGGAAGCTTCTGGCATGCGGAGTCGTGTGTTGTCGTGCCGAGGGAGATCCCTTCTTATATGTTTTTCGAGGCAGTCTGAGACCTTGAGGGATTTGATCAAGATTTCGTCCTTCCAAACCTTCTAGACAAGATCCGGCATGATTTTTCAGTCACGACCGTCTTTGGCATTCGTCCATATTTCGGTTTAAGCGTTGCGGGAAGGGTGGAGAGGATGTTTCGAGTGATGGGATGATTTGTCGTTCGTCTCAGTCCCTGTAACTCCGCCTCGTCAGCCCAAGTATCAACTTTCTCGCTGATCAAACTTTCGTGTGCATCAGCGCAGTGACGGGATACATGGAATCAGCACGATCTGTTCAATTTTGGTGAAGGTGGACATGGCGGAGAGAGTTGGATGGCTTACCTAACTGTGCCCGGGAGTTCGGGGAAGTAGCCCAGGTGGAGGGCTGGCAGCAATCGTTACAGGGGGGGGGGGGGGGGGGAATGCGCCGAGAAGAAAGCAAAGAAGAGCAAGAACATTGAGCGCCGCCGTGGCTCTCCAGGACGAGCCGCAAGGGAAATTCACAATGTTGTGTCTGAACGCCGAACTTGACAGGGGTCACTTCCCCCAGACCGCGGTGGACTACAACATCCTCTCCAACATGCCCTTTCAGCAGCACCACTGGGCCAAGCCGGAGCCTCGTGTTTCTCAGCTAGGATGTAGAAGCACAAGTAGCTTGGTGTTTCCAGGCACGATGAGCGGCCTCGGCTGAAGGAGAAGTCCCCGAGGGTGAGGAAGGCTTGGAATGCTGCACAGCGTTGCCACGGCAAGCTTCAGGTCAGTCGTGACTATGAGGATTTTTGTCATAACCAATCGATCTGGTCGAGGTTTGGCTGCTGTGTCCAAGGTGAGTCGCGGTTTAGTTAGCTTTTGATGGAAGATGGCTCGATAACATTCGATAACAGGAATACCAGTACATGCTTCACTCGATGCGTCCCACACTATTGTTCGGCACAAGGCGCCCTGCGCAATTCGCGACATGTAATGGTCCACGTCGCTTTATGGCTTACCTCTCCGCCAATCAACGACGTCGGTGTCTCTTCCATGCGTCCCTTCACGCTGCCGGCAACGTACTGAAGACCCCCTTGGCAGGTGCCGGCATTTCTTTGCAAGGACGGCTGATGTGGAATCGAAGATGGCTGGTTTCCTGGGCTCGAAGACTTTGACGGGCCCAGTTGTGGTCATGCACGCCCTGCAGGACTTCGACATCATCAACAACCGCTACCTGGACAATCACTCTGCCGCGTGCCAACAACAGCAAACAGGTTCTGTGAAGAGTGATGCAGTGGAGATTGAGAAGACCTTGCAGAGTGGTCTTTGTGAAAACTTCCGCATTTCTGGAATTTCAACGAGTGGTTGCAACACTCCCTACAACATCGAATCATTGTGTTGTTTCGAAGTCGGATGCCTTGTGTTCTCTGTACATTAGACCCTAGTCACGGTAAGAGTCCTACGTGTCAGAGTCTCTCCGCCGCATTGGCGGCCGGAGCCTCCGCGTTGCAAACAGCGCGGCGCCCAGGAGAAGCTCCGGCAGGAGAAGCACGTGAATCTGCTTGAGGCCGAGTCCGAGTTTTCTGCAGGAGCAGCTCATTGCAGTGCCGCGGGGCGAATTCTAGACGTATTGAGTGCTGAGACAGGCTTGGATTCCTTGTGTTTGACTGCTCCGCCGGACCCAGAGCAATCAAGCGGCATATCCCTGCAAGGCCGAGGAGCAACGCATTTCCAATAAAGAGCATAAACGAGAGTGAGGCCTTGAAGCTGCAGAAGCCGAGAAAGTCACTCTCTCCCAGCCCCAAAGCTTCAGCCCAGTGTTGCCAAAAGTAATTGCAAGAGAAGCGGTCCCTTACCCGCCATGCTCTTTGCACCGCAGGCGGGAGTGAGATCCGTTGTAGTTTCGGCTTTGGCTTCTTTCTTTTTGGCTAGTTGCTGGTCTCTTATGGGTTACAGAAGAGCATTTGGGCTTTTGATTTGCAGCATGATGCGAGCTGGGGTTGAATGTGAAGGCACCGCTATATTTGTTACTATATAGTTCCATGATGTGGGGATGGGAGAGTCGCAGACAGCATGTACATCGGCTTCAAGAGACAGAAGATGGAATTTGCTGTTCGAGTGTGGGCACCAGTACGAGTGCGACAGTGCTGCAGGCAGTGACAGTGCTGCTTGTTTGCAGAACTCTCGGTTCGTAACCATTGCATTCGGGTTGCCCAGAGCCCCGGCAACGACCTCTTCGCCAGATGGACATCGGCCTGACGCTGCCGCTGTCACCCCAGCCCCAGGGCCAGTTCCTGCGTGCGGGCCTCGCTTTGTGTTGGGATTCAGGTTCGCATAGCCTTCCGTCAGGTAGTGGTTGGATCAGTAGATGCTTAATCTTGAGGCAGGGGGGCTTAAGGTGTTATTCTTTCGATGTCTGCGAAAGACGCCGTTTGGCGAGCTAGCCACAATGTGCTGGGTGCTAAGACTTGCGCTCTTTGAGGCTCCGGTGTCTTCGGAGTTCGGCGTCTCTGCTCACGTATGCTTGGTGTGGTACGAAGTGCTCTATTTTGATACTCCCTTACTTTCGATTTTCGGCACCGAAGCTCGGCTGCTCAAAGCCTCACAGCGCCATGGCAGTGCAGAAGGAGAGACCATCCTTCGAGGAGGCCTTCCGCCCTTTGGCAGAATTATCTTCCCGGAGACGTTCCTCTGGTACTGCACATATGCGCATTTAAGAAGGCGAGACTCCTGTGTCGAAGCCCGAGTTTGTGCGATACGTCCTTTATTTGCCCAGGTCGCATCTTTGCCCTCGCATGGCCAAGCATCCTCTCTGAGCTCTCGACGCCTTGTTTGGGCCTTGTGGACACCATTGTGACTCTGCCAGAATTCGCATTCATAGGAAGGAGGATGTGCAATACCACTTCCATAACTCGTATCCACACAGAGTACCTGTTCTATAGGAGTTCAAAAATGGATCCTCGCAAGTCGGATGGCATCTTAGTCGAAAACTAGGGTGTATGACAGGCACAGAGGGCATGAAACATAAATCGTTGGCACACGTGGGCCGGGGGTTTTGAATGGGGGTTCCGCTGGTACTAGTACTAGTACTGAAAATTAATACGAGTAGTAGTAGTAGTAGTAGTAGTAGTAGTAGTAGTAGTGCTACTGCTGCTGCTACTGCTACTGCTGCTACTGCCACCAGTCGCTCTAGCGTTTAGCACTTAGTACTCGGCGCTTAACACTGAGCCCTTAGCAGCGCACATATCATTTAGCACTTAGCACTAACTCCAACGTTCCGCACCGGCACGACCACTGCCACTGCTAGTGGTACTGCTATTACTTCCAGGCTGCAGCATGTGTCTTTGGAGTAGACGCCGAAGATTTAAGCAGTCCAGCCGGCAGGTTGTCGGCCACTTCAACGAGGCGCACGACGTCGCCTCCCTTGCACTTGCACTGGCGGCGTACAATCCGCTCCTGCTAGCCGGGATCCTAGAAAAGCGGTTGTAGGAAGCGCATGCCCAGAAGCCTGAGCTACTACTTGAAGCTTTCAGGGCCTCCAAGGAGGGAGGCGCTGAATTCTGCAAGCTTCTGCTGTCTCAGCGTCTGACCAAGCTGTAGCGTTGCATTTCCAGCATCAGCCTCATCATCACATGCTCACAACTACCACGACAAGTCGGTGAAATGATCTTTCTTACTGGCGGAAGGAGTGCACCTTAAAGCTGGTTAGCACTAGCAACTCCAGCGCCCTGGCAATCAAGAGTTTATTGCCTCGAGGCAGAGACCTGCGTCCTGAAAGTTGTCGTGGAATGTCATGCTGATGTAGGAACTCTGAAATTATCGCGTGTTTGCCGTACAAGTCCGTGTGGACCTTATCGCTTGCTGCAGGTGTTGTCTTTCATTGCTTTGTGAGTGCAGGTCTTCAACTTCCTTCGCATGGGCTTCGGGGGTGTCACTGCCCAGGCCGCCTGATCAACTGTGAGACTGTGCGTGCAGTTTTGCATGGAAAGAGCCGCGCAGCCCTCTGACGGCGATCTGTTGAGATGCAATGTCCTGCCTATTGTAGCAGCACGAAGCGACATGGAGGCCTTTCGTCCACCGATGCTGAACTCTTAGGAAGGTGTTTCTTTTAGTGCCTCAACAGAGTCCCCGAAGCCCAGATGCCGTAAAGCTCAGGCCTACGGCGCCAAGGACAGCCAAGAGCTCGCGGCTGGCGCCGTGCGCGGGCTTGCGGTTGGCTGTGGTGCCACAGCTGCAGAAGGAGTCAGATGGTGGAGCTGGTGTCTCGAAGATGTGTGGGCATTCCATGGACCTATTTGTAGTAGACGGCTAAACTGCTAAACATGGTTATGCCTGCAAGCCTGGCGATACTCGCAGCAGAATTCAGCACCAGCCCGAAGAGCCCCCGTGCTGACTCGCTGAAGTCCTCGGAAGCCTGCTCTGCCTCCTCCGCGGGCCGCTGGCGCAGCTGCTGTTCGGCTTCCTACATGTTCCCGACGAGGCCCCATTGTGCATGGCAGCGTAGGAAGTGCCGGTGCCAAATCCATGCGGAGGCAACGCTCGATCGCGCCCTGGCCTACTTCCAGACCCGCGCGCCATGCCTGCATTGAGGGGAGGCACCTTTGCAGGGCTTGCCTCTCGAAGACGCCACGATTTGCAGAGGTTTTCGGTACGCCAGCAGCTTTGTCCAACTTCGTGGTCCAGGCTTGGCTCATCAACATCCAGAGGAGACGCAGAGCAGTGGGTCCTTGAGGTCCGGCTTTTGAGGTGAGGGTAGTTACTGGTGCAGGACAGACGTAGCTCTGGCTACCAACCTTGTCCTCAACCTCTGCAATGCCTTCCTCTGCATCCTGCTGGGATGCCTTCTGGACTATGGCATTGAGGCCCTGGAATGCGGAAATCTTTCATGATCCCAGCCTTCGAGAGCTCTTGGGGTGTAGGATTGAGGACTTTGGGGCTCGACCAGTTGTTTCGTGCCGAGCTGGGCAGGGCGTGGCCGCGGCCACTGTGATCTCCAACTATGTTGCCTTGGCCTTCGGCTGCCACCAAATCTGGTGGAACCTACAGCGGCTTCCCTGGCTCGCTGAACCTCAGCACATTCAGCTCGACGCGTCTGCCGTGTTTAGCTCACGGAAGTTAGCAAAGCTCGCCACACTCAATGTCAACATCCTGGTCCGCTCCGTGTGCATGATGGTCATTGTCCCTGCCTCAGATCGCAGAGTGAGTAGCGCCTCTCACGTGGTGAGTATAGAGGTGTAGAGATGGAGTAGCGCTCGCCTGGTGCGTCTCTAGGTCACGGACTTTACGTCCCTGAGCGGCAAGCTGGGGAGTGCCGCGTTGGCGGGGAACAACTTGCTGATGCAACTGCAGATGCTGATCTCCTTTGGGGCCGATGGCTTTGCCAATGCTGGTGAGGCGATGGTCGGCCAGGCCATAGGACTGGGAGACAGCCACCGGGTGCGCCAGGTCTTCGGGGCGCTCATGTGCTGGGGTCTGCTGCTTGGTCTTGCCTTCACGGCCCTGTACATCACTTGCGGCCGGCAGATCCTTTTCACTTTGACCTCCCATCCGGAGATCGTGGCCTATGCAGAGGCTTACCTCCCATGGCAGTGGTGCGCCCCGCTTCTGTCCTTCACGGCCTATCTCATGGACGGCCTCTTCGTCGGAGCGACGCAGCCGAGCAGGATGCGGGATGCCACGTTCCTGGCTCTGCTAGTCTTCTGGTTGGTGAGCCACGCAGAGTCTCATCTTTCCAACGATGTCTTATGGGGTGCATTCATGCTGCATCTTCTGGTGCGTGCAGCGGTGCTGCTCTACTGGTACAGGGGTATCGAAGTTGCCGCAGACGAGAGACACAGCTACTACCAGTCGCTGTTGCCTTCCAGCAGCACCTGCACCGTTGAGCCAGGTTGAGCCAGCTTTCTATAGCGAGGAATCTCGGACTTCTCAGGGCCAGCGCCCAGGTCCTTTGGGGCCAAAGTGCTGGGCGCTTCAGCGTATGCCTCACTGAAGGGCTTCCGGCACCTGTCGGGTCAAGGCCATCTACGGCATCTACCCGGTGGATTGAAATCCCTGTGTTCTGGCACGGACCTCCCCTCAGAAAGCTTCTTGAGCCGTCCAGTCCTGGGGACGTGAAGACCATTTCCTTTAAGCAACATTGACAACAAGCAGCCTCCGTGCGCCGGCCTCTTGTGGACGTATGCAGCGGGGCAAGAGCTCATCGAGGATCATCCGGCAAATCACAGGCTCCAGATGGAAAGCTCAGTCGAGACTTGGAGATGGTGAAACTCCAGATAGAAAGCTCCGGATGCTAAAAATGCAATGGCAATAACGGGCAGCTGGATCCTGGAGCCTGCGGTGTGCCAAGTCTTCCAGAAGGAGACGCTAACACTATCGTAGCAGAGACTCGATTTCATTCCGCTGCGTGCGATGCCATGAATCATCGTCCCGGCTTTTGAGGTCGAGCTGGTCTCGAAATCACTGGGAGATTGGAGTAGTGGGATCGCTGTGGATCATCGATCTCGAAGCTAGCCGACAGACCGGAGTCAAAGGCTGCTGTGTGCAATCGAGTTTTGTAACTTTGGGAAA